GTGCGCGCGCGCGCGCGTGCGTGCGTTGGCACAGGGCAGAGGATGTGTCACTGTAGCACTGACAGCACAGAGTACTGACTGCACTGTGACTTTGCCTTCTCTCCACGACTGGACTGGTGCTCTTCAGAATCTCACTCCAACTGGACTCGACTCCACAAACTGCTCATGTTTAACAACCACGTGACCGTTGAAACTGGAACTGATGCTGTTCTATTTACGATACTTATGGCTACTTTGGTATTGCATTAATATCCGGACCAAAACGAGTGCTTCGTCTGGCTCATCTCCCCCATCCCTCTGTGTTCTCAGCAGGATGTCGCCTGTACAGTGTATGGGCGCTGTGACAGCAGCCTTTAAACACACCACCAGAAGCACAACAAAGAAACAGCCAAAAAAAAACACAAATTAGCTGCAGCCACAGTGAGAGTTGTGCCAAATTGTGAAGCATGGATTCCTATATAGATGAGTATATGAATATACTTGATGTGACAGGTTGATATCTGATCCAGAGTCAGGGTTGGAAAATGGTTTCTGAAACACTTTTTATCTTATTTGTTGACATTGTTTTCATATCCTGATCCTGAAAAATTAAATTACGGGACCCTCACAGAACTGTAATAAACAAAACCAATAATTCATTCATGCCGAGTGAAATGATTGGCTGCTGTCCCTGTCTGTCACTTACCTGCCCATGCCCTCACTGCCCATGGCCAGAGTCAAGTTGGCGAGTCACGAAAACATTCGGTTTCTAGCGGCTGTCAGACTGCTTTGATGAGAGGGCTGATGGGAGGGGGTGCAGCCTGCTCTTGTTAGTTTCTCCAGACTTACCAACCTTAGCTCTGATGCAAGTGCAAATGATGCTGGACACTTTGCAACTGCTCTCAGTTCCACCAGACTTCAGGTGGTGCGGCTCACACTGTGATCAGATTTCAACCTGGTATATAAAGCCCATCAGGAGATGAGGAGCAACATGCAACAAAGAACATTGAGATTTATGGTCAGCACCCTAAACCCAGAGGGGCCGGTGGAGGCTCCTGGTCGGCCAGATTCAGGAAAAAGCGAAGTGATGGATCACCCAACTAAAGCTCTTCCTGTTCAAGCTGCCCATTACAAACCTTCAGATGACTCGTACTGCTTTCATGTGCCTTGCTGTGCTTTAGCATTTTAAGATGTGATCACTGTGCAGGCGGAGTTAAGATAAGAGAAGCACTGGTTGTGGAGGAGGGCAGTGGCTAACAGGCTTTTATCAAATGTCTTGAACCTGATAACGCATCTGAACACAGATCACATGATAACAGCAGGTGTAAATAGGGCAGTTAAACTCAGTGGAGACAATAAGCCTGAAAGAACAAGAGGTGATGAAGTGTACGACAAACTGTTCAGTTGTGTGTGGGTCGGGTTACGCTGCAACGTTCGTTGGGAAATTGCAGCATAAGACACACGAGTGAAATCTGAATTTATCATTATGTTATTATACATGTTATTTGTACAGTTTTGTTAGCGTTTGAATGAGAGAGAAGTGGGAACAGAAGACGGCGATCATTTTTAATTTGCTCATTCTAATTCAGTAGGTGCCCCTTTGCCTTTTTCTCAACAGCACTCCCACTGTTTTGGAATATAAAGCTTGAATGCAGAGAATTGATTCAAGCAGCTTCTTTTGTGACCGATTTTTCTCTCCAGGAATTTGCAAGTTTTCCCCCGTAGATTCAAACTGATTACAAATGATTTTTGTCTCTGTTTCATAGGACACTAAGTTGTATAAAAACTAATCTGGGTGTGCTACGCTCTACATATCCCTGCTTTTGGCACTTATTTTCTTTTTCATTTGCTTTAAGGTTATGAGACACATTAAGTGAGAGTCGCTTCTGTGCAGTAATTCAAACGAGTTTATTTGTACATAGCAGCTCCAGTAAGGAAAGAAACTGTAACTAAGTGTGAAACTGACATTTTTTCTAAGTTATCCTTGTTATTTTAAAACAGAAATTTATTGGTGTTTAATATTTTGAAATATGCAAATATATAAATATGGCCCCGGAGTTGTTTTTTAATGCTTTTTTTTTTTTTTCTCCCTTGATGAACAACATTAGCACGATGCCGGTTAGATGTGGCCCACTTTATCATCTCGCTCCCCCTTTTGT